CCAGCTCAGCCGGTCAGCTTGGGCCTTCCCTGTAACGCATCGACCCCGAGTGGTGCTGCGCAGCCAATAGAGCGGTCATTAACAAAGCGGTCATTAGGCTTTCTTCCCCTAATCCCTTCTGTTAGCGAAGTGACCGGTGGAAGGGCAAAGCGTTCGTGGACAACCGGTTGCGGTTTCGTGGCGCTTCTCGTCTGAAAGGCTTTCCAGCTGGGAGTGCTGTGAGCTGAGGGTTTAAAACCAGCTCCGAGCACCTGAGCGCGTGGTGTCAGTGCAGGGCCTGTAGCGGGAACTTGCCGGGTTCATTGGGCGTCTGATCCTGAAAACTGTGTCTTAACGCTGTTACCTAACGTTTAGTGTAGAATCAGATTGGGGGAAATTGCACTGATTTACAGTAAAGCAAATTCTAAGCTGTAAGTTAAGCTTTCTCAAAGTTCTGTCACAGCGGTGACTAGTACAAATTATGTACGTAAACACTGCAGTAGTGGTTAGCCCTGTGTGGGAAATCTTTAGTTCAGAGCATTTTCAGTGGAACATAGAAGGGAAGGCATGTTTATTTACTCTGTAAGTTGATGAAAGAGTATGTTACGTTCAGCTTAGAAGTGTGCTAATGGCAAGTGTTCTGACTAACTTCCGTGCTTGAGTAACAAATGCGTTTTCATATTCATGGTGAGTCTGACGTGCTAAAAATGAACTTCCTTTCCTTTCTCAGGACAAGATCAGGAGGCTGATGCAGAAGAAACACCAACTCTTCATCCCGCTGAGATGTCTTGCAGTCCATCGTTAATAGAACCGACGTGTTCCAACTCTGAGATCCAGGGAGCCGCAAAAATGAGAAAAAATGACGCTACTTCCAGACATTTGGTGGGCGCTAATTTTTTAATTAAATTTAATACTTGTTAGTATTTGTTAAAAATGAAGTGCAGGTGGGGTGTTTTCTAAACCCCCTTTTTTTTTTCCCCCGAGAAGTGAACTCAGGCAAAGTTGTATGCGTAAAATATCTGCTGTCTGGTGGATTGGGATTGTATGCCACACAAGTATATGCATTTGCCTATGATAATTACACTGCAGTAATGCATCTCTGTAATGTTCCAGTAGCAATAGCCATTTTTGTGTATTTTGAACTAAGAACACAGTAGCTGAGTTCAGTGCTACAGAACAAAGTCCAGTTCTGGTCTCTGGTCTGTATCAGTAGCTGTTCTGTAAGTACTGTCAGGGCTATGGGGAATGAATGACTTTTCTCCCAACCAGCCTAGAAGACTCTGAAAGAGGCTTTTTTTTTTTTATCTGGAGAGCCTGCAGTGGGACTGTAGACACCTTGTGCTGGCTATAATGTCTGTTCATAGTGTCCTAGCAGCCCATTTCATTTGAATAGTACAGCTGGGATGGAGTTGTTTTGTTAAGGTCCATATGAACACACAGACAAATAACCCTCCTGTTCTTCCCTGGCAGCTGGCATCTTGTCCAGCAAAACTCGGTTTTCAAAGCAAGCATTTTTTGCCTTTTTTAAATGACTTTCAGACAGCCTGATAAATAGTGTATGGAGCCAGTGGGATTTTTTTCTTAAGTCTTCTGCTGTGTATCCAGCAGTATAGTGCTAAAAGGGACACGTTAGTCAACATCACTGCACAGCTGTTAGTCAACATCACTCACACATCAGCTGCATACAAGGGACATGTCATCCTTTACTGTAGCTGGGATTCCGGGGATGGATACTCACCTTTTTATAAGTAGAGAGTCAAACTGATAGCATTACTTTCAGTACATAAGTAGGAACTGAACATGACTTTGGTGGATTTAATTATTTAATTTGCTTAGACTGTGGTTCCTTTCTGGAGAAAGGAATTGAGAGAATGCTAGCTAGACCTATCTGTTTGGGTTTTTTTGACAAATAGGCATTTGTTGGTTAAACCTCCTCTTCTCTTAGTTCTGTGTGTTTAAACTCTATAGCAAGATGCTAATATAGCTTTTCTATGAAACCTTGTCTGTAGCTTTTTAAATATTGATTCCAAAGGTCTAAGGGGTTGTTTTGTTGTGGTTTGTTTGTTTGTTTTACTACATGAAGGTTTCTAGAGATGTTGTTTTTCTGAGTGAATAGGAACTGTGAAAATACATAAATAAAAAATAATCAGGCAGTGGGCACCATCCAAAAAGTAGGTAGTTACCCAGGCTACCCTTGAAGGACATGACTGTGCCCTTGTTTTTCCACCTCTTTTGTAACTGGGGAAGGGTACTGAACAGTAAGTATTGTTTCAGGTTCCTCCTTCTGATGATAATGAAAGTGAACAGTCAAAATCTATTCAAAGAAAGAGAGTGCTTCCATCCTGGATGCTGGAAAGAGACCTTCTGGTTCAGAGGATTTCTGAGCCTGTAATGGAAGGAGGTAGGTTTGCAGTGTCGTATGTTTGTGTACCGATATACATTTGTGTGCTTTGATCTCATTTTCTTAAGTTATAGCTGTGATGATGGAAAACACTGATTTGTCACTTGTCTTCTACGTTCTGGCAGCTGACAGAGACTGACTTCGGTTGTCTCCTTTGTCATCAGTCCTGGGGATGTGGAAGAGCTCTTTCCGATCAGTTGATTTTCCTTTTTGTCCTTTTCATGCCAGGTAGTGGCATGAAAAGGACAGCTCTTTGGGCAGCTGAACATCCATCTGATACTCTCTGTGGGCAGCTGAACATCTGATGTTCTAGAGCCCTTTGCTATAAACTCACTGGTTTTGTTTAGTATGTAAATCCTGGGTAGTTTCTGTGCCTTTAATTCCAAGCCTTCTCCACATGGATGTCACTGGTTGCCCTTCTAAATGTAGATTCTTCTACTTTCACAGGTTTTAAAGGTGGGGTGTTCTTGAGCAGTGGTGTGCTAGTTTATTTTTAACCATGACTGACTCAGACTTGATCATTTAGTCCAAAGTTTCTTTCTAGGAGGAGCAGTTCATCACATTATCGTAGTCTCTTACCGGTATGAGGCTAAAATAGTATTGCATTCCCTCTTGTCCTTCCTGCAGAAGGAGATTGCTGAATCCACAGTAATGTCTACCGCTGTGTATCAGCAGTAACAGCAGCAGAATACTGTGTTTGGTCAACGTGAGATACAGGGGTGCTGCAGGAGGTTTCCTAGCATGTCTGGCTTTGGTCCTGGGAGCCTGTAAAGAGTCCTAAAACTGCCATTACCCACTCTCTGACAACCTTACTGCAAGGTGCTTATTGCTCTGATGGCTTTTATCCGTGGCACCGGAGGGCTAAAGAGAGGAGAGAAGGAAAATGACTATGTACGTTAACAACACTCCCCCAGCATTTCTGTCTTTCCCTGTAGTGAGGGCAGCGTGCCTCCCCCTGCTTGCTGTTCTGTGGCCCAGTGTGAGGTGGTTTAGGTGCTAACTGCTGCATTTCCTTCCTTAGCCAGCCTCAGCGTATGGGCTGTGGCTGGTGTGTCCGCTCTGCTGTGTCCAACGGCTGTTCTTTAGCACCTCTGTTTCCACCTGCCGTTTCTGCTGAGATGGCGTGATGGAAAAATTTGGCCCTTAATGCCTGAGCTGGCCTGCAGGAGTATTTCATGTGGTGTCTGACCAATCCCTTCTCACCTCCTGTAGTAAATGCAGGTGTCTGGGTGGATTGGCCTGGGCAACTCTGGCTTTAAACGCCTCTGTCGTACCGCTGGATGTACCAGAGGACTTCCGCTGGCTGGGTGGAGTTGTCGAGCCCTGCACTACTGTGATTGTTTTCGTACGTTCGGTGGGGCCTTTTTTTTTGGGGTGACTTTTTTTGGTGGGTTGGTTTTCCTCCACAAGGCGATAATGTGTGTTATATGTGTGTACGTAACGCCTGTTTCAAAGGCTGAACGTAGGGCGCCTAGGCTTGATCATGTAGGTGCTGAGACTTGGAGCTGTGTGGGCAAGGGGTAGCTTTGTGCTGTCGAAGGAGCCAAGGGTATGTACAGACTCTATTGGAGCTGTTTGAAAATTCATTATGTGGCATAATGATCCCAGCTTAGAATGAGCTGCTTTAACAAAACAACCAACCCCTTCTGCAAATCCCCTATTTCCTTTAAAATTGTGAAATGGTTTGCATCTTTCTAGGGTGGCAGCAGACAGGAAGGTAGAGAGTACAATGAAAAGGCTGCCCTTCTGTTTGTTCTGCATGTCTTCCTGCTGGAACGGGAACACCAATTTGTTGTTTTGAAGTCAGACATTAACATTTGGAAGAATTCCTTGCTTCCTACAGTTGTCTCTGTCACGTCTGTGTTTTGGAGGGAGTTTTTGAAGTCTTGCAAAATGGCATCGAGCATCTTCCTTCGGAGTGTGTTTTGCAGCAGATGCAGCTATAACGAAACTGGCACAAGGGCCTTGGCTGTCTCCTGGCTGTATATCCAGGAACTACTACTTCAGTACAGAGGACTCCTTCTGGGATGTGAAGCTTTCCAAAGAGAGGCACAGCATTTGCGGTCTTCCTTTCAGTTACTGGGTGATGAAATAATCAGCCATGATGTGATTAGGCAAGCGGGCATACCCTGATTTTTGCCACGTCCTAATTAATCGATGTTTGTGTGTATAAACTGGTAGTCTGAAATTATATTTACTTGGCAGGTCTGCGGTAAAAGTCGCTGTGGAACGTTTAGTTTACTTGATCAGCTCCTTTTGTGTAAATGAGATTGACAATCATACCGACACACTCAGTCCAGAGTATCCTCTGCCACACATTTATTGTTTTCCTTCAAATTTTCCACTCAAACGTGTTTCATTCTAAAACATACTTTTTACTCCTGTAAGCGGGGAAGTGAAAAATGTGCTGTTGGAACAGCACATGCATGAGTACTGCTGTTTCTCATGCTTTTTGCCCAGTGTTCTGTTCTGCTTTGATGTAGCCTTGGATTTCTAATGATCAGGATTTCACCTTAAAAGTTGCATTTCAAAAGTACCCTTTTATTTTTCTTTCAAGGTAGTCGAACGAAAAAAGGCCGAGGAAGGGGAGAAAGTAATATGGAGTCATTAATGTCACAAGTAAATATCCAGCAGAAAAGAAGACTGGCTTCTGAAGAAACCGTGGAGGATTTTGAAGGTGAAGAGCAAGATCAAGGGAAAAGGAGCTGTCTTTTCATCCCTGCCCCTTCATCTCAGGTAATTTTTTGGATCAGGGCAGAACCATGGTATTTCAGAAAATGACAATGTAGTTGGCAGTGTCACGTTGAAGGTTAGGTCTACAACATAACGGTGTGTTCTGCTTGTGATTTGTTGTTTAGCAGTGGTTTTGAAATGCCAGTCTGTTGGACAGCTCTATAGCAAGGATCCTGGAAGTCTTCAGACACTTGGTTTTCTGCACTTTCTTCTCAGGATCTGGGATTTAGGCCCCAAGTGTTCCACAGAAATTCCAGACTTTAAGCTTTACAGCAAGAGGCTGGAAGACATGGGCCAAAGCCCTGGTCCTAGGAGTGGCTTGGTGTGTGGTTTCTGAGAACCCTTTAGGGATAGGTGACGGTATGACACTGACGTAATGCAACACTGGACTTGGCAGTATTTTGGGCAATTCCAGTTGGTGAAGCTTTATGGTCTGGAAATGTGGCTTAGCAACCACTACGTTTGAAGAAAGATAGCAGAGTGTGTGCTTATGCCACTATCAAAATCTGAGTGAAAATAAAAGGAATGAAAACAAAAAGTAGTCTGAAATCCAAAACAAGCTGTGGCAGTGTGTGAACAGACCCTTCAGTTCAGCGGCCTGGTGTGCCGGTGTGGCTTTGAAGTACAGCTGCGTTCGCAGGCAGCTGAATGCTTACTGATAGCACCCTGCTAGTGATGCAAAGAGAGGGATTATTATCAAAGGCAGACAAAACATATTCTGGTGAGAGCAACGTGAGGCTTTCACTGACTTTTCCTTGAAGTGAGCAACCTGGGGAGGTGTTTCTAATCTCTAGCATCAGGATTGCCTGGATCTCTTCCAGGATCTGATAAAATACTTAAAATACTATTCTGGTATCGGTTTTGACACTGAAAACAGTTGGGGGTTGTTTTTTTTTTTTAATTAAATCTTGAGGTTAATTGAAATGATCTACTCACGGGGAGTGTACCCTTCAGGTAGTTTTGATATAACATAGTGGTATCTTTTAATCTCAAAAAGTGTTCTGAGCAGTGAGCCTTGTTGTTGGGTAGTTTTTTTTTTGTCAGATTATAAGGTGAGTGACTACATAATGAATTATTTCATTTTTCAGTTTGGAAGTATGGAGCCTTACTTATTTTCTCCTAATAATTTCATAAATCGCTTTTATCTCAAGCAGAGGGTAAGAAATTACCTGCAGAACTTCGCAGGAAAAGCAGTGGGTTAGTGCGAGCATAAGTAATAATCATAGAGTGGTCTAAAAGATTGGAATTTTGATATCAAAGCCAAACCCACTCTCCTGCTGTTATATTTGAGGGATTGTGAAAATCTGCTGTAGGGTAGGAAGTAAAAAGAATCTTAATTCTTCTAAGCACCAGCAGCCGCCGGATGGCAGCGAGGCCGTGTACGTGTTGTAAACAGTGCCAATAGTGCTGTCCTCTCTGGTTTTCCTTGTTTGCAACCTGTTGTTTCACTGGTTGCCCTAATAACTCTGAAGGATTTGCTCTCACTAGATAGAGTATCAGCCATGGATCGAAGGATGTAGGAGAGAAGTCACAAGCGAAGGTGGCAAATCAGAGCAATGTAGTCCTCCTTTTGCAAACGAAGGCTAATTTCCGAAGCTGCGGTTGTTTGCTCAGCCGTATTTTGGGAGTTGCGATAAGAGTCGTCCTTGGCAGCATATTTAGTAACTCAACTTGGAGACATCAGGATCATTTGATACCAATGCTGACTTTGCCCTTTCTTAATCACGTTGCTGCTCGGATGTAATTGTCTCTGGTTTTGGTTCATGTTTTGTGAGACTTGCAGTGAAAACAGGAAACCGCCGGCTGAATTTTCAAGCTCTGCCCAACACATCCTTGTAAACAAAGTATAAGTTTACTGGAGGGGGACACTAGTTAGTAAACTGTAAAGAGCAGAGACCTTTGAATAGTTCTGGGGTGTATCCAAGTAGTTCAGCCTTCAGTAATAGGTATGCTTCCAGGTAACGTCTCGGTTGTTGGGACAGTGTTTCTGTCTTGGTAATGGATCTCCTTTTTCTAAAGCACACTTCTCTTATTTTAAGTGTACATATGTTCCAAAATTTAAAATGTGGTATTTGTCAAAAGTGGAATCTTTGCCTGATGGTATCTACTGACAAACTGTTTTATGATTCAGAGTCATGACGTGAAGCATTTAAGATTACGGGGTTAGGATTTAGCTCAAGGTGTATATTGCTAATTCCCATAGATAGATAAATATAGATATCTCCCATATACCTTGGTACTGAAGGGATTAAAATTGATTCTTGTATAGGAATGTACGTTCTTCTAGAGTCCGCTATATCTTCACATGTATAACCCTCATTCATTTTCCAGGAGCAGTACTTTTAATTGGAAGTTAATTTAGTATGAAGTCCTTGGACTGTTCACAAAGTGAGGTGGTGAGAATGGAGCCTTTCTGTGTTGAGAGGGAGCTGAAGCTGAGGACAGGAGCTGTAGGATAAGTTCTTCTCTAAACTGTCTGTGTGTGTTCTTAACCTAAGCCTTTCATTCTGCAGCTGTATTTAGCAGCTAACTTCAGTTTGGAAAGTGGAGTGGAAGACCAGATGATCTTTTGAGGTCCCTTCCAACCTGGGCTGTTCTGTGATTCTCTGATTTTGAAAACCGGAATGATGAGATGAGGCAGAGTTTGACCTTAAAGCTTTTAATTCTGAAGAGTGTAAATTTTCAGGTCCTTCAAAATGTAACCTTGTTCCGCAGAATACATCTGGATTTCCTCTTGAGAGTACCATGAGAAACATGGAAGGAAATGGCAAGACTGGAACAAAAAACCCTGGAAGTTCTCTGGAAAAACGTGATAGGCAGCTGCATAGTAAATGTTCTAAAAGAATAGGTCAGAGCTCCAGTAAAACAAATAGCGTTGAGGAAACAGAAAACAAAGAGCAGATTACTGGTTCTACAAGCCAACAAGCTCACTGGGGCAGGACTTCCCAAAATTTTGGTGCCCAGGAAGGGACTCATGAGCCTGATGCAAATCTGGATTACGAGACTGAAATTTCTGATTCAACCAGAAGTGCAGAAGCTTCAGAAAGCTCCAAACAGATCAAGCGTAAGAGGACACCTTGCATGTATGGAAAAAGCTGTTACAGGTAAAGCAAAGTTAAAACTAGCTTAAGCTAGCTTGTTATTAAGAAGTAATGTAAGCTGTGGAAGAGATAACAGTAAAGTCGTTACAAGTTTTGGTGTGAAAAAATCCTGTGGTAAGCAGGGGGCTGATGAGGAACAGATGGCATAACAAGAATTTTAAAAGTATAGAAGGAGCCAGAATGTCTTGCAAACTGGTAAAACAAGGGATGAAGTCCTTCAGCAATTTAAAAGATGAAGTGTTGTAGGAAATAATAAACAAAGGTGCATTTTAAAGGAAAAAAAAAATAGGAAACCTCTGTGTGCAGTACATGTACCAGCAGGGAGGAGAGCGGTAAATGGTTGAAATTCCCAGTGTAGACCCTGTAGGCTTGTTTTATTAGCAGATGAAATTTCTATGAAAGATGATGATTCTTATTGAAGTTATTGCATGCTTCCTGATCTGAATAATCCCTAAATAATCAAGAACTGCTTTCATTATAAATTGGCCAGCCTGCTTCTTTTTTTTTTTTTCCCCCTGGTGCTTTCAGTCCCCTGAAATCAGAACAATTTGCATATGGACAGACTCCGTGTGACCCCTTATCTGGTCAGTGTCTTTGGTAATGCTTCAAGTGAAGAACAGCTTTTTTCTTTGCTCCTGCTCATGTCCTCTTGGTTCACAGTGAAAAGTCCATCATACAAATGTTTTGTGCGATACCAAAATCCCAGTGAAATTCCAAAACGCCAGTGCGGAGTACCTGGCCTCCTGATATTTCTTTCTGCCCAGAAAAGATCTGGAGTGCCATGTGTTGGTATATCAAAGGGAAGATTCAAATCTGGAGGTGGTCTTGAGGCTTGCAAGTGACCTGGGGACTGCATTTAGGAGAAGACTTTGAGCTCTAGACAAACCTGTGTGCACTGTAAGCACAAAAGATAAGGCTGAGCCAGGAAACAGGGAGTCCTTTGATTATTCCCCCTCCCCTCTGGGCCAAGGGGCTTGAATAGGAAAAACAGTGAGGTGGTTCAGAAAGCAAACAAGCACAAGTAAATGGATTTTTGTTTATGTTCAGTGTGTAAATCAGAAGTGTAAAAGTTAACAAACAGATTTCCAGCTTTCATGGAATGCTTTTTCACGTATCTCAAATTTTGCCGTTAATGAATATGATGAAAACATGTTTTATTAGGCAGTTAAGGTGACCCAGTAGTACAAATGCAGCCTCATAAAAGTGCCACAGCTACTTTTAATTTTCCTAAGACAAGTTTTCCCCCCTATGGGGGTTAAGCTGATTTAATGCTCTAATATGCTGAAGGATTCCTGATGTTTAGGAAGGCAAATTTTAGTCACAAGTAATATGACACAGGAGTCTGTATGTGCGCACTTGTTCTTGGGTCCTTATTCTAAAACTTTTGGGAAGTATTGCTTTGTAAGAAAAAATAATGCTCTTGAACCCGACATGATGAAATCTTCTGTGGGAGTTTGTAAATACAAAGTATCAAAACCATCACCTTTGATCTGCTGAAAATGTCGGGAGACTAAACCTGGTTGATTACAGCAAAAGAAACACGCATTGTAGTCTCTCTTAGTATTTGCTTTTAGGACAAGACCACCAAGCAGACTTTCTGCAGCAACGGGGTAGCAATGTTAAGGATGACTGCAATGACCTGCTCTGCAGCAACGGGGTAGCAATGTTAAAGCAGGTCATTGCAGTCATCCTTGTTTTTAACAGGACATGTATGCAAGTGTGAGGTGAGCGGATGCTTGGAAGGAACACGTTGGTAGCACATGCTGCTTTGGCTGGGGTAGAGTTAGTTTTCTTCAGAGTAGCTAGGAAGGGGCTGTGTTTTGGATTTGTGCTGAAAGCAATGCTGATAACACAGGGATGTTTTAGTTATTGCTGAGCAGTGCTTACACAGCGTCAAGGCCGTTTCTGCTCCTCACACCACCCCAGCAGCAAGTAGGCTGGGGGTGCACAAGAACTTGAGAGGGGACACAGCCAGGACAGCTGACCCCAGCTGACCCAAGGGATGTTCCACACCATGTGACATCATGATCAGCGTATAAAGCTGGGGGAAGAAGGGGGGGACTTTCAGTGTGATGGTGTTGGTTTTCCCAAGTAACGTTACATGTGATGGAGCCCTGCTTTCCTGGAGATGACTGAACACCCACCTGCTGATGGGAAGCACTGAATGAATTCCTTGTTCTGCTTTGCTTGTGTGCACAGCTTTTGCTGAACCTATTAAACTGTCTTCATCTCAACCCATGAATTTTCTTACTTTTACTCTTCAGATTCCCTCCCCCATCCGACAGGGGGAAAGTGAGTGAGCGGCTCTGTGATGCTTAGTTGGTGGCTGGAGTTAAACCATGACATAGCATATTCAGTTTTTCCTTGATTAGTGTTTTTCTTGAGCAAAAATAGTTTTTAGTGTTGCTAAGGAAGAGGAGCTGCTTTGAGTGCTCTTTTGAGTACAGTGGGCAGTTGGTTTCCCTCTCCTTCATTACTTTAACCTTGTGAAAGGTGTCCTCTAACACGATGTGCTGTAGAAGTCAACATCTTAAATGAGTACTGATTTGATAATCGTAATGTTGCCTTCAAGTTTTTTATCTAGGTGAGGTTTCTTATTCATAAAATGTCATTTATTCAATAGGTAAATGCTACTCAGAGTTCTAGACTTTATTTTTTAAACACCTGTTAAGAGAACTTGTACTTCTGGATATTATTTTGGCACCTTTGGTAAGTACCTAGTAAAATAGCACAAATTGAAAAGATTTAATTTTAGTTCTGATTAATCTTATTGGATTTCTCTAACACATATCTTACTAACCACTTAGGAAATAATTCTGTAACTCATTTATGAATTTGAAAGAATCAAGCTTGATGCACTCCCCTTGCTCCAGGGATTCTTCTTGTCACTGTCCTTCAGTGTCAGATTCTGAGGTAGCCTGAAGCTTTACCAAATTGAAAGAAACTGCTGTCACCACCAGGAGGCGAAGTGTTCTGTGTATGTTGTATCTGACCATATTTGTTCTCACGGAACTCACTTTTTGAATACTGTCTTGTGTTCGTTTTCTTGTCTGCTCCTTGTTTTTTCTGAAGTGAGAAGAAGAGGGAATTAAAAATAAATCTAAACCCAACCCCCTCTTCCAGGGCTGCATTGAAGGGGTGCAGTAGACCTGAACTCTCACCTCTAAACCCAGAACCCACAGTTTTTGTCCACAGTTCTATCCTTTTGCTGACCTGCGATAGTGCTCTGCTGACTGCGTGTGTGTAAATCTTTCCCATAGCTGCCAGAGCGGGGCGTGCTCAACCAACCTTTACATTTGTATGTGCGTTCTTTTAAAATACTTTGCTGTTTGTTTGTTTATGAAAATATGTATTTTTCCTTTCCCCTTAAGCTTGTAAATCTGGCAGCTGAAGATCTCCATCTGTCTTTTCCGAGTCCTGTCTTCTAATGAGAATTACAGTTTAGAACTTACAAGCATCTTACACGCAGCTGTGCCATCACTTCAGGCTTGAATTCTGTGGCTTTATAACTACTGCTGGCAATTTGTTACATCTTCACTACTAGTTTCTTTAGCAGCTGAGAAAGTAAGTCCTTGAAATGGCAGGAGTCTTCTGCCTGTGATTATGAAGAGACAGGGATTCTGACCTCATCAGTTAAACTTGTTTTAGAAAAAGCTATTAAGTTGCTTTTGGTAGCTGCACGGACAAAATGCTGTCTTAAATATTTCACTGAGCAATACTGAACGTCTCCTTGAGATAACTGTGTTGATTCTGAGGAGCTTTTATCAGTTTTATTTCCATAATTTTCTGCATCATGTGTGTACAATATCGATGCTCTACATCAAGTGAGTACACCGATTCAGAGCTGCTGCGAAAGCAAAGTTGCAGTAGCTGTGTGAGTATGTTTGAGAAGGCAAAGCTCCCATAAAACTTTATTCTTAAAATAGGCTTTTAATTGGTGTGTGAGTAAAGCTTAATGATTTTGTTTTCATCAAATCAATAACATATTCCTGTGCAGTGAGGTTTTGCTGTGAAACTAATTAACTTTGAAGTGCAACTCATGGTGTGATAGATGTTGGGCTCTTACAACTCAAATCTCTTGTGCTTAAAAATAAATTTTAAAAAATCCCTTAAACAAACCAAACCCTTGCAAAAATCTAGAGCTTCTTCCTTTTAGTAAGAAGGGAAAATCTTTGCTTAATATAAGCTGTGCACTCTTCTGCTTTTGTTTATTTTGCTGGATATCATTGCACAACACATAAAAGCGGAATAAGTACAAAATAGCCAGGTAAAGGTAAGATAAAATAGGATATTTCTACTAGTCCTGAGCATCTGAAGTAGGACATGTTTGAGGTGCTTCACAGGTAATGCATAATTTGAGGAGTATCATCCACTGGCCCAAAAGATCCTGAAGCGTAGTGGTAGGGAGCATAAGTCAAGACCTCTTAGTTTCTCTTCCTCCTTCCTCTCATCCTGCTTTTTTTTTTTTCTCTTCCCTGTGTCTTTCAATAATTTCCATGCAATAAAGGGTTTTTGGTCTTGTCCAAGTAGGTTTCAAAGTAAATTTTTGAAAGGAAATGGCTGTCTCTTAAATACAGTAGGTTGGCTAATGGACGGCTATTTAGCCTTCTTCCATTGGTGACTAGGATGCTGCATGTATCTTAATGTCAGAATAAATGTCAAAATGCTGTCACAGAGCATCAGTTGCTTCTGTATCCATTTCAGAAGATTAATTGTGTTTCAAATGATTGAAAATTCTGGCTAATATTGCTAGTAAGTTAGTTCTATGCATTTAGAAAACATTGCAAGTAGCCACTAAGACAAATTGGCTTCACCTAGTTTGTTTTTAAATGGGAAAAAGAAGTAGTCAGTCAGGCTGAATTTGGTGTAAGAAGTGATGTTTCCTGAGAACTTGTAGAATGAGAGACTGGTAAATGCAACCTTGCAATGATTTCTAGTGAAACAGTATTTACTTATGCCATAGTTTGCAGAAGTTAACAGAAGGGACCAGGACAGGAAGTCTTTCACCTGTGTAAATAGATCCAAGGCACACTGGATCTTTGATATGTAGCTTATTGAAGAGTCCAGCTGTAGCTTACTTGTTGAGTTTCCTGAGTGAAAGATACCAGGCAAACAATGATTTAAAGTATTAATACTGCATACTTAACCCTTTCTGAATGCCTAAAAGGAGCCTGAATGGCTAGCAGAGCTCACAGCGCTTAAGTAATCATTTTGCAAAAGCTGTAACAAAAGTGGTTTTTCTTAAGGTGGTAGTTGAAATGCTGAAATTAATATTGACTGTTCCCTATAAAGCTCATAAGCAGTAGTTGTGAATTGAAAGGAAAGAATGCCTGTGGTCGTTGAGGAAGTTGTTGTGTATGTCACTAGCTGCCTACATGTTGCTGACTTAGTGTTTCTAAATGCAGCTGTAACAAGTGTAAACTCTGTGTTTTCAAGTTGTCATTCCTCGGGCTTGAGGCATGGCGGTCACTTTTGTGATTTGCATGAAGACATTGAAGATTATGTACTCTGGGAATTAGTGTGGTAAATCCTGAAGCGTTTTGTGGATGTCGTTTGGAAAATCATATGGTAAAAGATGTCACATTTCTTGCTTTTAAATCTTATGCTTGAGAAGTGACTCTAGAAGAAATCGTAGGGGAAAAGTAGATTTGCTTTTGGTACCAGTGTGTTCACTTGGACTCATTTTTTGCAGCACGTTTCGATTTGTCCCATGAATTTCTCCTGAAGTCGTAACGTGGTTTTCTGTGTTTTTTCTTAACCTCACGTACAGAAGTTTTATAAAGCAAAGTCTTCTCTAAGTGATGTTTATGGCTGCCTTGTCTTGTACGGTGTGTATGCAAATGTCTCGAAGCAGTAGAAATGTTCTTTCAATGATGTGTTGACAATCAGGCATTCACCTCTTGCTCACCTTGGATTCAAAAGTGTTGTAGAGCAAAACATCAGGCATCCTAGGCACGTGCCCTCATCACCAACATTGGTGTGACTCAGCTACGCACGGAGTTGTCACACCTTACGGTACAACTTCGTGTCATCGTTGTTGATGAAATATCGATTTGATATTTCAAATACAATGTCAGGGTAGCCAAGGCAGACTGGACAGCATAATCCAAGTAATGCCCAGGAGACTGCTCCATCTGCAATAACATGCTGGCCGCTGAAGTATGCAAGTGAGTAGTAACTTGCATACGGAAGAGAAATAATAATGGAGGCATACTGCCTGGAGCTCATGGCCATCACCCAGGGGTGTGGGGAGCCTTTAATACTGCCGCTGCCTGGCTGCCATGCCTTCGTCCTTCCAGCCTGGGCTAAGACTTCGGTAGAGGTGGCACTTTGATTGCCCCCCGTTAGAGCCGAACTGAGCAAGTTGACCACTGAGGAAGAGTCGCGCTGTGTGACTGCGTCAGTAGATGGTGTACGTGTTGGAGGTCTGAAATGTAAAGCTGGTGGCAAATGGGAAAATTCCTGGTTTGTCTTTTGCAGTATGTGCTGAGACAAGCCTTTTCTTCTGTTAACCTGAAAGTAGGTCTTACATTCTACATGAAGTAGAAGCTCCTTTTATGTAACCTCACAAATGAGTTGTCACTGATCCAGTAACGCCTGTGTTATCTCCACTGCTCCTCTTTACATGGACCCGTCAGTTCTCCATACATCCTCTGTCTTTTGCAGGAAGAATCCCATTCACTTTCAGCAGTTCAGTCACCCTAATGATGATGACTATCATGAAATGGAGATTGTAACTCAGGATAACGATGACAACCGGCCTGAATGTCCCTACGGAATGGCTTGTTACAGGTCAGAAACACCATCCAAAGCGGCTTTTCTTGGTTTACATTTTAAGAGTGTTCTTCCCTGGAGTTGCAAAATGAGGACGGAATAATGAGGATTGATTCTTTGGTTAAATCTTGACTGTAGCCTTCTGAAATTGACTGTAGACAGGCTACTACCTTTAAAGCACCAAAGTCTGTGCAAAATATTTGTTAGTGATTCCAGCTGGTGACCAGAAAACTTGACTTTTGGAACCTATCCGATGACCTAGAGATCAACACCTTTTCACTTGTCAACATGTAGTAAACTGTTCATCTTTTGCATAAACAATAATTTATTGTTACATGTTGTTCTTGATGTGTAACTTTTAAGTTTCAGCAAATACTTTACCAAAATTTACATTTTGTACAAAAACATACTTTAATCAGTATTTGATTTGTTAGAAAGCATAATTTGGGTAACAACAAGAAAATCCAGTTTATGACTGACTGCTGTTTCTTTTAAGCACTGTTGATTTTCTTCAAGAGACTGTTTTATTCCATTCATTTCTCAGTATCTAGGTTTTACGCTTGTGTTTGCAGAGTTTAATGGTTGCTGTGTAATTGATACAATGGACTAAAGGATATATTTTGGGGCGATAACACTTCTGTAGGGACATATTGAAACTAATGGCTGCTGTTAATAAGGATTTGCCTGAGGAGAAACATTTTCTCTCTCACAGAAAGTGTGGTGATCCTAAAGATTAAAAATTAAAATTATCCATAAAATACCAAGGACTTCTGGGCTCGTTAAGTGTGGAACAAGGTGGTGAATCAAGCTTTTACTGGTGTTCTTTGCAGGAAGAATCCGCAGCACAAGCTGGAATACAAGCACAGTGCACCACCAGGTAGGCCACGTTGTTCAGTATAGCTCAAAGGGTGGGTGGGGGAAGAACTCCAAAATCCAGGAATGGATACCAAAAATTTGGACTTAAAATGCTTTCAGCTACGGTAAGTGGGTACCACTGCATTTCCAGCTTACCCTGTATTCACTGCATTTGCAGCTTACCCTGTATTGCCCTGATGAGGAATGTTCTTTGGATGCTGCAAAGTTGCTCCCACTTTTCCCTGTGTTTTTCACGGCAGCGCGATGGGCGGGGTCAGACACAATTGATGTAGTTTGTGTGCTTTTGTATCCTAGGAATTGACAAAAATGCCATGTGGCGAGTGGATATTTTAATGAGTTTAATAGGCTTTGTTGACAATTAAACATCATATAGTGTGGTATTACCGGGTCACTACATTCTGCTTCCTCCATTCAGAGCTGAAGTATTCTGATGAAAAGAGAACATACTTAGATGTTACTGAAGTTTTTCTCAACATTTCAGATGGATACTGCAGTAAAATATTTCTCTAGCTTTTCTTCTCTCCCCAGAGCAAAATGTGTACGCAGAAATATTTTAACAGTATAGATTTATATTGCTAGATTTCTTGCTTTTAATTCTTATTTTTCTGTTGATAGAAATTCCTCAGGTAACATAGAATTCTAGTCTTGTGATGCTCTGAAACAAACATTGCAAGCATGTCTGTCATCTTTTTCAATTTAACCTTTTTTTTTTTTTTTACCAGTGATTTTTCTTAGTGAAAGAACAAATTTTTGCATGTATGTTCTCCTGAGGCTTGGAGGGAATATAATTAAAACTGAACCTGAGTTTCTATTCTAAAATTTTCTAGTCTTTTTATATTCCAGTAACTAATGTTGAAAAACAGAGGGGAGTGTACTGTTTACATTTTGTCTGTTCTTAAATATTTCAAAGAGACACTTTGCAATTTTTTTTTTGGTGCTTTTTCTTGATTATTGTACTTGGAGATATTTTCCACTTGAAATCCAAATGCAGTAAGAGTATTTCAGGGCAGAACAGTTATGGAGATGTAATGATAATTGGTTTCACTTTAAAGAGTCAGGTTTATGACACTTGTGAGGAGAAATTACATTTATGGAAACAGCGTAAAATATTTAATGTGTTGAAATACTCCATTTTTCTGCTTAGGAAAAAAAACCAAAACCAACAAACAGTATTCATGACATTGGTCTACACAGGGAATGGTCCATAACTGTAAGAACAGTTCATCTGGGTAACCTCTTAGGAATTATTCAATGCAGAAAAAAAAAAGGGTTTTTTTGGGCAGGAGATGTGTTATTGTGCTTGTAAATATAGCACCATCACTGCAGCATTTATTTTAATAGGTCAGTCTTTTATTGTAACAACCTCTATGAAATAACCCTTATGCTAGGTTGTACTCTATCCTGACTAATAACTTTCCTTTCCTTAGTAACCAAAAGAGGAACCCGACAACGAACCTCGAAGAATGGTGAGTATGTCCTGTGGGAATGAATGGGCACATCAGCATGGGACACAGCTCATCTGCTTTGTTTCTTGGGACTTTCATCAAGCATCTCCAGCACTATTGTACTTACATGATGAGAAAGTAGTCGTTATTATAGTAAAACCCTGATTGCTTTTTTACAAGTAATAGTGCTGAAATTGAATTTGTGCCATGCTTTCTGGATGAGCATACCTGTACTTCCCTGGAAGCAGACAAGAAAACATAGGTTTTAAGGAGAGATACACATGGCTAAATTGATTCTTCCTTACACAGAGGTCATAATAGGATGAAAGGAATCCAATATTTCATCCAGAATTAGTTAAGGGTGCCCTGAAAGATTGGTTGCTTTTGAAACATCGAGCTATTCCTTCTGCATTGAACTGACCTTTAACCAAGTTTCAAGTGATATCGATGCATGTGCTGATGAGCTTTTCTTCTACTTACTGTGAGGTATTGATGTTTCAGGTAAGGTACTGGCTTGTTAGGACTAAAGTGTAAAAGGTGGGTAATGCCTTTGTGTTGGGGGCAGTTTTCACTCTAACCTACATATGTGTCTTTCTTACCTCGGTTTCTAGTTGTCAGTGAGGATTATGTAGTAGCACAGGCAAGCTGTAGTCTCTGTTGATTGATGTAAATTGTAATATGGTGTATGAATATCTCCTCCATTTACCAGGGGCACACCTAGCTTGCTTTGCTGCTGCCAACAGTGTTAACTTCACCTTGTGGGTGTGTAGATTCCCATTTGAAATATCCTTTAGGTCTGTTTCCAGGCTTCTCTATGTCAGCTTCCAAATGGGAACCTTCCTATTCTTTCTAAAATAATTTCAAAGTGAGTTTTAAAGAGCAGTCTGATAATATGTCATCTTCCCTTTCACTGGCCTGAACAAAGCGTGAGGATGTGGAGCTGCTGCGTCTCAAGTGGACGTGGGAACTGTCTTTTCTTCCTTGGGATCACCAAGGTGTGGCTGGGCATTTCTGAAAGACTTCCTCAAAACACAGGGATCTGCCTTCTTGAGAAAATAAATGAAAGTGCAAATAAGTGTAGTTAGCTTTCCGGGCAACGTGTTTTGGCCTCCGTTTCTGTTGTTGGGTGGAGGCAAGAGGTTGCTTTTATATGAGAAATTTCTTTCTCATCTCTTTGCGTGCTTGATAGGGTTTTATCTCTGTACTAGCATATTCTGAGGCACGTATGTTACCTGTCTGTTTTGCTGCATCCTGTGTTGCAAGCACAGCCCCATCTCTGTCTCTGCTCCCTTGTAGAAACATGTTGCAGTGTGGTGAGGATTGTTAGCAGCGCTGTAAGAGCAGTGAGGGGCTGAGATTTTATCATGAAGCAAGCTGGACTGTCTGCGTATCTAAAGTGCTTCTTACTCTCTGTCTGAACTGTGAAGGTTTTATCTTGTAGCTCTGCCTTTCCCAAGAACACCTTCCGTACCCAGGTGGTAGATGCTGCGTGCTCAGCTCATGGCAGGGGGTCAGCCAAGCCAGACTACGTGGGGGAAAGTGCTTCTCTGGTAAGCCTGTCGAACTTCAGGCAGGGTCATGAAATGCAGCGTCTCAAATTCGACTCCTCATGCTAAGTATGAACCAGGGAAAAATGGATACTTCGTGCTCAGGGGAGAGAAGGGTGTGCATTAATCAAGTGTTGTTCATACTTGCTGGTGTGTTGTGGGGTTTTTTGGGCTTTTTTTTCCAATATCTTGTTGACTCGCTTGCTTTGCTCTCTTGAAGGCAAAGCTTGTAAAAGATTGGGCTCAGCAAGTTCACATCTGAGGCAGCCGTATGGAGCCGTGCAAGGTCGCACAGCCAGACAGGGCTCTGTTCACCTTTATTTCATGCTGTTTGGCATGACTGCACTGTTAAGCACAGCAGAATTAATTTCCATACAAGTGTATTTAAACTCTACCAGCCAAGAAAAGAAAGGTACTATCTAAATAACATCTGACATGTTTCATTTTTAGCATTTGTAGTCTAATTGCTACCAGAATATTGCAGATTTTGTGTATAGAATGTGGTCTGTGTTCAGAGAAATAATGTAAAGTTAATTACTGGGGGACTAGTCATAAGGGAAGAAGTAAAAAAAGAGAGAAAGGTCAGAGTTCTGCTGTCATTAAGTTGTCACCACTGAATGACCTTGCTCTGTCGTTACTGCCCAGATGAATGACCTGGTGTGGCTGTGCCCGATGCAGGAGTTTCCTGTGTGCTTCTTTGCAGCTTTCCTAGCAAGCTGATTAGCTCACTTCCAAACAAAATGCTTTGGAGGGGGTGGTCAGCAGGCTGCTTCTCCCCACATGGAGCAGATACAAGTTTGAAGGTCATCTTGATACATAATGGTGCCAGAGAAAAGGCAGAATGGTACCGAATGAGCAGCCTTAGGAGCTGTGGGGCAGAATTCAAGTGTAGCAGAAAGAGGTGGAGTGGGAAGACATGGATGAAAGTGTATGGTTCCCTGCTGAAATCTAAAAGCATTGATGTACAGGGAGGAAAAACATAGCATGCTCCCTGTACATTTGTAGGAGAAATATGGAAGTAGTCAATATTTTGCCGAAATTCCTCCTTCTCTGTAAAATACCGCCCATACTGCTGTGAAAGTGAAGAAGAGCCTTGCTTTGCTAAGCAGGTCTTGGCTTACTCTTGTAAGCTTAGTGTGAGAAGAGGGATTTTGTTCTTGCCTATTTAGCATCTTTGGTTTTACCTCTCCCCTCCAAGACATGATTAATTCCGCAGGATCATAGTCTGTGATTCCTGTAAGAAATTCTACTGGTCTGAGTAAACATGGACACGACTCATCTCCTCTGAGGTCTGGTGAGCAATAAACTAGCAAGTGGAATAGTGGATTATAGCTCAGATTGGCAGCTGGCGTTTTCAGGATTTTCTGCTAGGTGGTGCACAGTTGGTCCTTCAAAGACTATAGATGGCTACTCAGGATTTTTCTGAATTATATTATGGGCTGTGTCACATGTGGTTGACATTAATCTAGGAGGTTATTCAGTGCCTCTGTAGCACAATTCATCCATAAAATTGTGTATCTTTGAGAAACTTGACTTATGCTGTAAATGCTTTTGAAAACCTTGGGTGGGAGTTGCTAGAGAGCATAAATTGTTAATTGGACCATAAGATAATTCTGGAATAGTAACGTTCCCACCAGTAGAAAAATGTGAGTGATAGAGGATGTGATCTGCGTAAGGTAATGGTGCTCTTGTTTGTTCACTATGTGCATAGCTTGAGTGTCTGGGGCTCTGACCGGAGGTTGCAAGACATTATTAACCATGATCATTTCTTAGCATAAACGTTGACGATTTGGACTGGGGTCTGTAGCTGAGGGGAAAAAAATGCATGTTTATAGTTTCATGTGAAAGATGATGACAAGAATTGCTCAACAGATAAATTATCTGTATGAGATCATTGACAGGGTATCACTAGATAAAATAATAATGCAAAAGTTGTAGGCTGGGAAGAAGAGGAACAAACATGATTCTACTCAGAGCTCTGACTTAAGAGCAGAATAGCACAATTGGAATATTAACAGAGTGTGGCTAGTTCGGAATTGTGGATGTGTAAGAAAAAAAGGAAGACAATATAAGCTTGTAAAGCCAGGGTTACACACATCTGCCAAAAATCAGGAGCAGTGGAAATAAACTCTTTGAAGGGGTCCAGCTGCTGATATATAAAGGGAGAAGGCAGTGCTGCCAAGGCAGCAGCTTAGTACAGAGACTGCCAAGGCAGATAGATAAGGCTTCTTCAAATAGAATTATCCTGCCTCTGGGACTTGGTTTATATGTGCCAACGTATCTGAGCAATTAAAAGAATACTGCAGAACAAGCTGTCTAAAAAAGTTGAGGAACATGCTGCAAACAGCATCCATTCTGAGTCTTTGATTCCTGCCAATAGAGAGCATTGTGAAATACGAGGAAGGCAATTTGGTCACAAAATGTAGGTTGTGAGAAGATGGATGGGCAGCAGATTAGGAAGCAGCACAAGGGATTAGTCAGAACTGGGAAACAGGTAGGCTGCACCCAGCTCAGGAGCGTTCAGCGTTTGTTGTTTGCTTATCTGTGTTCGGAAAGGAAGCACAGACTATGCAGCGTGGATCCCAGTTGAGAACGTTGGAGGTGAGTGACCTAGCGCATTCCCTTCTCTTGCCTGAAGCTCAGGAAAGAAGTGAATGGAAATTAAAAGCCGTGTCAGATTCCAAAGGGTGTGAGTGTAAAATAGCTCTCAGTTTGTGTGGATGAAGCAGAAAATCTAGGGTCAAAATAGGGGCCTAGCAATACCTGGAGGCTAAATGGCAAGATAGATGGACTGTTTAAGTACAGAAGTAGCAGGAAGACAGCCAGGAAGATTGTGTGTGCCGCTCCTTAAGGAAAGGAGAGTTCTCAGAAGACATTATCTGATATTGCCGTCTTCTGATACCAGAAGACATAATCAGAAGAGGCCTGATACTGTTTTTCAAGTGCTGGAAGAAAAGCTGGTAAGGAAAACTTTCTAAGTGATCAGACAGGTAAGTGCTGCAGTAGGTGTCAGAGAGATGGTTTAGCTTTTCACGGAAGTCTTGAAAATCGAAATAGTAAGCGTTGGGTAGAGTGCTTCAGTTGATCCTCTCTCCTCGAGAGGAGCGAGACTGACTAGGTAGTTTCTGCAAGGTCTCCTTCGCTCTGTGTCTGTGATTCATGAATATATGACATTTTTGTTTCTACAGGGAAAAGGGCTGTGGGGAAGGATGGTGACAATGATGAACCAAATGAATATGACCTTAATGACGGCTTTATAGATGATGAGGAAGAGGAGGAGTGCGAGCCCACTGATGAAGACTCTGACTGGGAACCAAGTTCAGAAGACAAGGATAACGAAGATGTTGAAACGCTTTTGCAGGAAGCACGTAGATTTACTAAGACCAAAAAGTAGCTGCACAGAACAACATTACAAATGTCTGATCTGGTTGTGTTAAAACATGGATGTGCAAGGAGAGAAATTACTGGGAAAACTGTGTTTTCCTCAGTGATGTAGACCTACAGGAAGATTTTAATGGGGGTGAGGGCATTCAGCAATGCTTATCTTGTCCATATGTATTATTTCGGTGCGTGTTTTGTTTTTTTTTTTTAAACAAATGGTGGAGACAGAGGACTGAGCTCTGAAAGGTAGGGTTTTTTTCCTTTTTTTTTTATTTTGCAACACCATTGGTGTTTCATACTTTGAAATACAACTTTAAAGGTTGTTAATGCTTCATCTTCCTGTGCTTGAAAGAAATACTGGCATTAGGAAAGCCTTTTGTTTTGCTAAAACACAGTATATACAGTGTTGAATGGAGTTAACACTTCACACCTGCAGCGTCACAGACTAAATTTTGGTCATCACTGGGGAATCTGTCTAAACCATTTTTTAATGTTCTTTTGAGTTAGTGCAGGCTTAAACTTCCTTGGTCTGCTACCAGCTATCCTTTTCAGTGTCGTTTCTTTGATTCCCCTGATGTACAGTAGTTCAGTACGGGTTGTCTAAGTCACTTGAGAACTGTATCTCAGTGCATGGAACCCCTTGGTTGTCTCAACAACACTGCTGGTGTGTTTGCTGTCATTGCAGTAGTACCTCTTTCAATGCCTGTACGTCACCGGAACGGTGCTCCGTTCACAACAAAGCTGAAGTCTTGATGACTGTATTTTTGCACAATTAAACTTGTAACATACTGTGGGAAGATGTGTAACTGTCTCTGTGATTTCTAAAGACTCTGTGTAACTGTCTCTGTGATTTCTAAAGATTCTGGAAGATCTTGCCTTCCCTGAGCTTTCAAGAAAGTTAAATAGTTTTAGTATGTTTCAGGACAGGTGGGTGGAGCCGTGTGCATTTGGCACTTGTTTCAGACACAGTCCTCAAATTCCGCAGGGAAAGCGTTCTGGTGTGGCTCTGGCTCCCCTCTGAACATCTGCCCAATCATGGCTGAAAATAGACATCCAGACACACTCAAGCTTTTCAGGTGGGTGGCAGAATGTTTTCTGCTTAAAATAAGATGGCCATTGCTGCAAACTGGCCTTGGGCTGCTTTTGGATGTAGGCTCATCTTGTGCCCTTTGTGTGTCAGAAGCTTCTCTCAAAAATTGTAGATACTGAACGTACAAACATTCACAGTGGGCAACTGTTCCAAATTTGGAGAACATCAGCTTCTGTTGGCCAGATTGATAAAGCTATTTCATACAGTCTAGTTGGTGTTTTTTACAGTGTCTGTTGATTTTGGTGACTGTAACCTCCCTCAAGCTGAAGCATTCTGTCTTGTAGTGTTCTCTTGTGAGTGGCCATTAAGCTGCGCTCAGGAGCTGCTAGCCTTTCTTCAGAAGAAGAAACAGCTTTTTCTCACTGGAGGCTCCCAGTCAGATACGCAATCACAAAGGCCAAGTGCAAGGTCCT